GATCGGCGCAGAGGCCGAATGTCGACGTGTGCGTATAGTGTGACGTCGTGTCGGTGTGTTCTCATGCTTGTAAACACGGATGTATGCACAGACACCCAGATATAAGTACTCGTAACCCACTGAACACAGAGTCGAAAATAAACCTGAAGGATGGCTGACAATGTAAAAGTTGTAGATGTCCGTTTTCCACGGGACTATATACGAAATTTTCTCTTTGCACAAAGTAATATTGTTATTATTATGTGAAATGTGCTGTTCTTACAAAAACACAGCGGGGTCTTCGGTTTCTATTTTCAAACGACCATCGCGGAGCACATATTTAGTGGTGGGGAGTGGGGACTCAACTACAATTGATTCATTCATAATGTGCCGACGTTTGAACTCGCACAATGCGTACCACGGGAATTTAAATTACTTCGATATTATTTAAATTAATGGTTTCTATTTATCGTGACATGACAACGTACGTAACCTCTAATGATACTTTTGTAGGACACCAAGTATCAATTCCGTGGGAGTTGTAATGTAAGAAGCTCGTATTCGGTTAACTATAGTAACAGTGTTGACGCTTTTATAGGTTGACTTTTTTTAACTCAAATAAAATTTATTACAATGTGACATCATTGTAATAAAACTATAAAAGTATAAAATCGTCTTCATTAACGTCGACTACGCAAACGAAATTTTATACTTTTATAGTTTGATTACAATGATGTCACATTGTAATAAATTTTATTCGAGTTCTTATATAATTAGTCTTGTATAATAGCTATATAGTAAATAGCTTAATAAAAGTTTAGTGACTCCCAAGGATCCCTGACATTTCAGAAAATGTTCTATCTCCTCTGTTTATCAGGAATAATTAAGTATTCTTAAAGGAGAAACAGAGCGGAAGAAATCCTATATTATTAAAAATATTATTAATTGGAAAAATGTTCAAAGGAGTTTCGGAGCCTATTCAATCAATATAAAATCAATATAATAAAAACAATCAAATCTTTCCTCTATAAAATATTATTATAAAAAATGGCAACACTTTTGTTTTTTAGAAAATAATAAGTTGGAGAAAAAGGTATATGTCAATGAAAAACACATGTTATCTGCTTTTATCTGTGATGAAAACCAACGACATCGACACGTCATACTTACATTTTCGTTATTATTATTACCTGCTGACATTTGATATATTCTTTCATTCACTATATGGATATTTATCTTATATATAAATATAATCTTAGAGTGGGGGCTCAGCCAATTATCAAAAACAGTCCTATGAACATACAGCCTAATATAACTTTGACATGTGTGTTTATTTAAAACCTGATTTTTCATAATCTTCTTTTGTTTCAGACTAAGTTTATTTTATGTTTGCTTTACATTTCTCTGAATCACATAAGTCTAGACCACTAGAACGACTGTCTGTTCTACACATGTATGACACCGTTTCGTCTCGAAATAGTTGGCACATTTATATTAATTAGCTTTTACCTGCGCCTTTAACCGTGTAGACATGACAATATGCGATTGATAAATTATGATAAAACGGCGTTCTATAGGCCTTTAACTATTTCTGTCCAAATTTTATAATATTTGCCCTATATATAGACAATCAAAACTACTTTTGCGAACAGATTTTTTCTTAAAAACACATTTAACCGCAGTAACATTTGAGAGTGACCATCAAAGCGTTTAAAATCTCAGAAGCTTTTAGTAATTATTGTTTAAAATTCAATATTATTCGACTCATCGCTACTGGCAACACCAACAACAATGATGCTGGAGTCAACCACCGTGTCTGTCAACCATATTCTAGGGAATTTAACGATACAATCAAAGGCAACTAACACGGCACCTACCTTGTTCAAAGTTTTAAAAATAAATACAAAAATAGAACCGACTTCAAACTTTAATAAAGTGACAAAAAATGCATATCTTAAAAATATAAATAAGAGATGTTGAAAATTTTCAAGTACGTAGAAGAAAACAGTACACAAGGTTATTACAAAAGACTAATTTTTTAAAATCAATTTCTAACTAAACTATAAATTGATTATTGAAATTGAGTGTTTTGATGTGCTGTCGACTATACATGTGTATATGAAAAATTAACAGATTATAGCATTTTACCAATTCCTATGTCTTTCTTCTTTATAATTATTTAATGATGAGGTTGCTTAATAATTGTTTTGATTTATAGGTAGATCGATAATTATTTAATGTAACAGATATACAGGTAGATAGAAATACGGGGTTATTTTTACATATTTATAATGTTAGTAAGGATTTGATAAATACATTAATTATGTTGTTTACTTATATATATAAGATTGTCTTTAAAATAGTCGTTAAAGACTAATATAAAAACAAGTAATATTAAACGAATATAAGTAACAGACCAAGATAAATATACGAGTCTTTTAAATATTGAAATAATAATATATGTAGGATTATTCCTACGTATTAAACTTATCCTCACGCGCAAGCGAAAGCAGGCCTTGGGTATACTACTTGCTTTTTGCTCTAGAATTTTATTTTCAATGACGAATGACGTGTCATTCGCGTCACGCACGTTTCCTCTCGCACGTATTTCATATACCATTGTTACTGCGATGGTTATTCGTAGATAAGGAAAAATACCCATGCCTATGACGCCCCCTAGATAACGTAACTGTTATCTGCAAGAAGTTTGTTTTTGTAATTACAAACATATTTAAAAAATCAAATATTATTTGTTTTCCTTAACTAATTAATTTTCGAGTTATAGTCATAAATTTATTGTTAACTAATGTTCCTATAATGTTTAGCTTAGTTAAAAATAATATAAGGAAAAGAAAATATTTAATTGTTTGATTGTTTGGCATCGAAACTACTGGACCAATTAAAAAAAAAGTTACCTTCGGAAAGCTACATAACACGCTAGTAATATACGCTTTAAAGGTAAAAGAGTCGGGAAAATAGCTAGTTATTTATAAATTTTAAATCAATTCATCATTTGAGTTCTCGACCTTCACTTTAAAGGTGGGAGAGCCACGCTTCGGCATGAATGGGCCGGCTCGACCGGAGTGATACCACGGCCTCACAGAAAACCGACGTGAAGCAACGCTTGCGTTGTTTCGTCGTGTAAATGAGGGCCCAACCCCTCCCTATTCCCTTCCCTCTACCCCTCAACCCTTCCCTCCCTATGATCATATTCGTCCCTCAAAGGCCGGCAGCGCGCTTGTAGCCCCTCTGGTGTAGCAGGTGTCCATGAACGACGGTAATCACTTACCATCAGGTGAACCGTCTGCTAGTCTGCCCCTATCCCATAAAAAAAGCCTCAGCTACATGTGACAATCCATCTAATGGGCGCCTTCTACCTCTTATCGTCTCCGCCCATTCGGCAACTACCCGTCTCCACTTCTGTGGACATATGGTAGTGACAAAATCTCAACAAAGGTTTTCCCACGGATCTAATCATTTTCCTTTTGGTCCATTGCATGGCACGTTTCATTTCCATTATCATTTGCTCGTTGAGCAACGTATAATTTTTTGGGCGAGTTTTCCTTAAGAATTGTTGTTTTCATCTCATACGTTACTATGGCAAGATTAACTGATCGAAAACATTGGTTCTGATGTATCATAGGATTTTATTCGGATGAAGAAAACAGTCAACGCTTGTGCGGTTCTTCTCTCCATTTCCACGGTCTGGTCCTAGGTCCGTATCTTATGGCAACGATACACATTTGTGACGGGTTCGGTGCTTGGGCCAATTAATGAAAGGCTTAGTCAGCTTGAAAATGGATTTATTTATGGTATAAAGGATAAAATAAAGAAACTGTAACAAACACAAAATTAATATAAAAACAGTTCGTATGTTAAACTAAATATAAAATTTTAAATTATCAAATAAAACGAATACATACCCCTTTATGGGTTTCTTGATAAAAATTTGGACGCTATTACAGTATATAATTTTATATATTCTATTTTTTATTTAAGACGCATATCTTTATGATTATAATATTTATATTTTTAAATTTATACGATTTACATATTCACAACAGATGAATTCTTTACGAATTGACATCCATAAAGAGTATATTTGATTAGTCAAAATCTTAAATTACGAAAGATTAATAAAAAAAGAATTGATATTGAATATCAAAGAAAAAAAGTTTGCATACTGAGAACCTGAGAAACATTTACATTGACATCCTCCACCAGCATGTTCAATCATTATTTAAGTTCTTGACATGACCATTTTGATACTAAATTATAAATAGGTTAATTTTAATTGCCTTCTATTGATATTCTGTATTTACCTACAGAATCACATGGGATAAAGTTTTATGTTACCACCCACACGAGAGCAATGGCCCAGTAAGCAGTGGGTGTTCCCTACTAAAATCTACAATGAAATGCTGAAAATATTCATTGCGTGGACGATAGTGTTGGATGTGTATTGACTTGTACTATTTAATTGTCTTCTGAGAAATATATAGGAAAAACATAATATTAAAAATCTATTTATGTCGTTAGCAAGTCATATATTGAGCCGGATTTCTTTATATATTTCAATTTTGAAGTAGAAAAATGTCATGTGTAGATTATGATTAATATCTTTCTAAAAACAACGTATAGATATTTTATATTTGCTTAAAGAAACTCAATTGTTTAAATTACTAAATTTTATTAACAAAATCATTCAGTTGCAATTATTTTAAAGAATATTAGAATTTGATACTAACTATAGCAATTATTCAAATTGGAATCATTTGGCGCCGGTTTCCTGTGCAATATAACAAAGGCGCCCCGCGGTCTGTCCAATAAGTTAGTCCGTTACTAAAAAACCTTCACTGTTGACTTTAGTGACACTTCCCTTCATTCATACTCTATAAATATACCGCTGAAATATAAAAAATGATGTTTCTCCCTAGCCACAGTAAAAACGGATGTCTCATATAAATCTTTCATTCTACACTCATTTATTTACATCCTATCATCTACCCATCTGTTTCCAGATCCCGATTGGGCTTCTTACAACCTCGGCATCTTCATATGCATGCGTTGCGCAAGTATACACCGTGGGATGGGTGCACATATCAGTAAAGTGAAGCACTTAAATCTCGACAAATGGGAAGACTCACAAGTGCAACGAATGAAGGAGGTCGGCAACGCGGTAGCTAAGCTGAAATATGAAGAACGCGTGCCTCCTTGTTACAGAAGACCAACGAGACATGACCCACAGTAAGTTTTCATTATTTAAGATCACTCCTAGTAGTCAAACTTATATTATATAGAGAATAAGTTAAAGATTGCTTTTACATTTCTATTGTCTGTCTTTTTATTCTATCTGTTTATCTATTTATAAAATAAATAATAAAAACTTAAAAAAAAGAAACGACTTTAAGCTTAAAAAAAAGAAAAATTTGATTGTTTATTTGTTTGCATTGGATAGGCTCCGAATCTTTTGGACTGATATATAAAAGTCGTTTATCTACGGGAAGCTAGATAATACGCATTGTACGCAGGCTATAAATTACGCAGGCGAAGACGCGGGGAAACAGCTAGATAGCTAGCTTTGATAGAAATTGGTTCACAATTTAAGAAGAAATCGATTGACATCTCCACTTTCATAAAAATTATACATATTCCTTGAACTTAGAAAATTCTCCGTTCTGATTTTGAAACAATTCAAAAAACGCAATCTTTCGGTTTTAGCTGAAATACAAGAAATACAATACAAAATATCTAAGTAATTAGGTGATATAAGAACACACATCAGCGTCGAACATATAACCTCCTCCTTTTGGATTTTGAAGTCGGTTAAAAATAAATCGCTAAATGTGTTGCTAAACGCAAAACTTGAGACCGGCTGAACCGATGTGGCTGATTTATTATTTGTGTGAAAATTTGCGGAAGGTTCTGATGGAGAGAAAAAACGTAAACATATACGAGCAAATAGTTAAAATAACCATTTTCTTGTCGCATACAAACCATTCTGTCTATAGCAACCAATGCAAATTAAAGATGATCTTTGATATACTTTCAAATTGATTACAGGTTGCATTTCATTAAGAAAAAATATAACGAGTTAAGTAAGGGCAGAATAAGGTCTGCCGGAACAGCTTGTATAAAATAAATGTGTGTCGCTCAGTTGTCGAAACTAGGCCATAAATATTGGAACATACTTTAATTGTTTGACAATAGAGTCAACCTGTGTGTAATGTTTTTCTATGATTTATTATACTGGTATAACGAGCTTTCCGCCAGCAGCTTTGTCCACATATGCCATAGAGAACTGTTTAATGGGATAAACAGTAGCCTTTATATAAATTAAGGCTAACAATTACCTGTATACTAAATTTGATCCATCCATCAAATTTGAAAAAACTTTTTGCGTGAAAAAGTAATATACTTCTTCACTTCTTCACAAATAGAAGCATTATTGTAAAAAATACTAGCATTCAATACTTTTTCCCCATATAAACATTACCAGTAGTTCCAAATACGCATAATTTTCGTAAAAAGGGGTCCAAAGTTTTTATTTCACATATTATAATCATTTATTAATAAACTGTACTGCCGTTGTACGTGTGTGACGTCCCATATCATGATGGGTTGCCTGATCAGATTAACAAATATTACAGAATACAGCCTGGCAAAAGAATTTATTGAAAGTTATCATTATAAAATACACACAGTAAATATTTATTTTAAAAAAATCTATTTACCATCTCTAAATACAGCTTTTATAATTTATGTTGCAAACTTTTTGAATAACACAAATATAATAAGTCTCTATAAAATTTCCAGAGTGTTGATGGAACAATGGATCAGAGCAAAATATGAAAGAGAAGAGTTTTGTCATCCCGAACGTCAGAGTTACCTCTCGGGTAATATGGAAGGATTCCTAATGAAAAGGGGCAAAGAGGATAGCAGATACCAACTAAGGAAATTCGTATTGAACGAAAACGACGACACACTGAAGTAAGTACAAAAATCAGTTACCAAAATTAGTTGGACTTTACTCCAATCCGGTCCCTGATCATTGACAATTATTTTTTTCATTTTCAAAAAACTTTTGTTCTTATTTCAAAACGTAATATATTTTGTAAACATTGAAAGATCTTTTTTTAAATTAATTCATAATTTTTCAGTGTTTTTTTTTCTAGCACCATAAGAAATAATTTTTCGATATTCCAACTGTTATGTTTAATAATTACTTTTTTTTGATTTGATAAAATAAAACAAATGCTTAAAAGTATACGTGGATATGGAAATGGGACCGGATTTTATAAAAAGCGTCAAATTTCTATTTTTTTAACATTGGCTTATTATGTCTACTCATTTACATTTCGCTTTAGACATTCTTTATTTAATCTTGCATCTGCTTTATGTGTAATAATTATTAAAATCTTATCAAAATATTTAAAAACATACACCAGCACATCAGATCACTATAACAAATATCAAGAATCATTTTATTTTTAATTTATTTTCTAAGTTCTGTATGACCTGATGTGTTGTTGACTGTAAATATTTGTTTTTTTTATCAGCATTTGATGTGATTAAATAATTTGATGATTACGAATATATCATAAGATAATTCATACATTACTATTGGATTTAGTTTTCTTATCGTCTACTGAAAAACAACATCGACATTTTTTGTAAAATTAATCATATTTTAATTTTAAACTATTTGTGTCAAAATCATTTTGGAATACTCTAATGGTAAAGTATTCTAAGGATTGTTTAAAAATCTCTTTAACAATAATTTGGATAACTGAAAATTTTATTTGCTTCGACGTGTCTCAATTCTAATTATAGTATCTATATCTATACTATACTTAACAACGCTTGACGTTGACTAAAAGATAAAAAATCAACTTATCACAACCGTTTCTTCAGTTGGATACAAACTTTTAGTATTGTTTTTTTCTATCGAATGGTTTCTTCAGCACTTTATAGAGACTGTCTGTTTTCCCGCGACCCTGTGTCACCCGTGTATGATGTAGCATGTAGGTGAAAGAAATTAAAAAAAATAAGATAAGAACTAAAAAAGTCGGTACTTTATAGAGACTAGCTGTTTTCCCGCGAGCCTATGTCACACGTTTAAGATATAGCATGTAAGTAAAAGAAATTTTTAAAATCGTTCTATCTTTCGGTCTTTAATAGTTTATCTATCATAGACAAAGAATCAAATCTTTCTTCTTTAAAATATTATTATACTTACCTAATGGTATGAGCTCTGTCCAAACCACAATGCTAACTTGGAGACTCAATATTATCAATATAAAGAGCCGAGGTTCCCAACGATACTTTTTTGCGCAACCCTATTTTAATGAACTAAAGAAATGAAATGTAGTTATGATAGAGCTCAAATCTAATATTTGTTAATATTTGGTCATAAACAATCAAACAAATTTAGACGATAAAAAACCTTTAAACTAAAGTCGGAGAAATCTGTTTTTTTTTTTCAAGACAATATTACTCAAAAATACTACTTTTCTGCTTTGTTTTTTTTACAACAAGACTCACAACTTCCAAAGTCAGTATCCCAGAAACTACTAGAATATAAAGGTTCTATTCCACTAAAGTTTACTGTATATCCAAAAAATCTTAGTAATATATATTTTTTATTCACTAAAACATACTTTATGTGTATCTGTGCTATTAGCTATGAGGCTTTATTACTGTGTATTACGAAACTAGTTTTTATTCATTTCCACGTCAATAAAACTTCGTATTCAGAAACTATAATATAGGTATATAAAACAAAAAAATATTCAAACTATACAAGGAAGATAATTGCGGAATTAATACAAAATAAAAATAAAAGTAACTTAAAAATTGTTTCCCTAGTCTGTTCTAAGAACTTTTTAATCCAACGTACCTTTATATTTCTCTGTTTGCAAAATAAACGTAGAATAATCTAGAATTTTCCTTGTTAGATCATTGCAAAATTATAATCAACCATTGTAATATATGGGTAGGTAATGGAAAATAATTGTTATGTAGTTGTTATATGACGCAAGCAATTTTTGTTATAGGTTTTTAAAAAACAATCACATTATTATTAATTTAACTACAATCACATATTTGTTAGTTTTTTTTTTAATGAGTGTCTGTCTTTTACTGTATTGTCTTTCCAAATAATCAACACAATAATATTATAGACTCCTGCCTGCCTTGTGTGTTTTTGTTAAGAATTATAATTTATATATAATAAAATAGGTAAATAAGATAGCATTATAAATTTTACAGCTAAATTTCTGTATAGATGTAACATTAAACAATTTCTTTATAAAAACTAAATATGACTAATCTCATAGTCGTAGCTTTATTTAAAATAAATTCGTCTAAACATCTCTTTTCACTAATATGTGTATGTAGCGCTTTAAATGTTGCCATTTACAACTCCGAAATTCACTAGTTAAAACCATATCTTAGTATATCTTCATGGTGTGTTAAAGAACCATCTCATTTTTTCATTACATTCATAAGTTTTCCTCTTCAGAACCTTTACATACCTATTTCAACCATATTTCATAATAATAAACGCAGAATACAGTTACGTAGACTAAACGAGACGACTAACCATAAAGTTCAAATTTTAGGACATAGATACTAAAAAGAATGTCGTCATGAATTTTAAATTATCGTAAAAAAGTTTCCATACTTATATTAGATATGGAAACTATTTTGTCTAATATATGTATGGAAACTTTTTTTACAAAAGTGATTAACTACCAGAGAAAGTGATTCGAAATTTGACAAAGAAAGAGTGGTGTGTTAATCGTCTTCTGTAGATTACGATAAGGATGATTACAAGATAGATTTCGCTACATATGACAACAAACGTAGACTTGACGTAGTACATACGAAAACTTCCACACCTCTCGTTACCTGGTTACGTCAAATGGATAAGCAAATATTATTTTACGCGCTACGTAACAACAACTGATTGATGGTGACTGTCAGATTCGTTACAATTCAATAATTTTCAACTAATTTCGTCATACATGATGTAAATTTATGTTCATATTTTATTGTACAGGGTCATTATAATTTGAAATAATAAGTGATTACAAAATGAAATAACGTTTATTCGGAAAACTACTGAATGACTAATCGAAGCCCGCGGTAGGTACCTGTGTCGAGAAATCAACTACGGGTTTTTTTTATCAAAGAAGAAATTTCGTATTGCCTAATTGAAAATTAACTTCGAAACTATTTTAATATTAAGAATGGAAGACACACAAATTCAATATATATTAACAATTTTTATATAACATTACATAAGTAAAAACACTGATATCGTTTAGTGTGCTGTGTAATTATATGATAACTATATGACCTCCGATTTAAAATTCTCACATTTACGAAACTAAGAAAAACTAACTGTAAACAATAGCTAGGTAATAAAAAAACAATTGACAGTTTCAGATTTTATCTGCGGTATGCGGTATCTAAATATATACAACGTACAAAAATACATAATTGAAACCTACTCAATTAATCCATTCCTGATAAATTTAGAAAAATTAAATAGGTACACACTGACTCTATTTAGCAGGAAAACAAACAACTCAGGTTGCTATATTGTTTCACTACAAAACACCGGATGAAGTCAATGTTATATAAGTGCCATAAATATCTTTAAAATACCTTATAAAATTTAAATCGTGTTTAAGGAAAATGTAGATGTTAAAAATTGAAAAAAATTATAAAATAAGAACGGTTATATAATAAATGCCGAGGCATTCTCGAAGTTGGGTACTAAAAAAAACATAAAGCAATTATATTATTTACTTCAATTAATTACGTATTTCAAAGACGTTTGTGTCGATCGGTTGAGTGATATCAACGATCGAGAAACCTTTGCTATGCTTCATAAAACATCCATTTCGTGCTTAGCCTGAATATATAACATCCTTAGGTACCACCACGCTTCAGACAGCTGCGGTCGCGCCGCGAGTTGTCTCGAAAGGTTATTCGATCGTCTCCGTGTCAAAAATCTCGGTCGTTGGAGGTAAGAAACGTATGCTGAAGTTCACGATTGACCAAAGGTCATAAATATATCGAATGTATAATGTCCCGGTAACGATAAGGTCCCGTTCAATTCGATGCAGATAGATCAACATCATTTCATTGCATGAATCATGCTTCTGTCCTAACTTATCTGAATTCACTATAGATTTGAGTAGCATTTCTTATATTCACTTAAGGCATCATCCTAATTTGCTAAAATCGTATACGCAAATGGCACGATTTCGTCGTATCACAAAATTTGACATAGAAATCTGTTATAGTCCTGAATGAAGTTTATAAATAACCGCGCGATTGCAAATAATACTTGATCGTACGTTCGTGTATTAAGGAAAAATATTTCCTTTGAGGATTAGCATCGCGCGACAGATATCGTGCGATCAAACAATCACAAGATCATTTTTATCACTGCGAAATCTCCATGTTAGCTCTTACGAATGTTAGTTGATTATGAGGCGTCTACATGTGTTATAAAAAAGTATCTTACTAAATAAGTTAAACAAAATAAAATTATCAGACAATTACTGTTTAGGAATGCTATGAAAATCTTTTACATTCGCAGTTACGTCCATCTCGTCTCAACTGTGTATTATGCCGTTGAGCGGACGTAATGCGTTAACATTACCCGCATTATTTTTCATAATGGTCATAAAACTCTTTGTTAATTCACAGGTACCACGTCCGAGAGAACAAAGAACCAAAGGGTATTTTGAAACTGTCCGAATTGACCGTTTGTTTCGCACCACCCAAAATTGGTCATATGAACTCTATGCAATTGACCTTCATGAAAGACGGCTCCACCCGCCATATATACGTATACCACGAAGAGCCAGAAGTCATAAATAATTGGTAAGGTATTTTGAGTTTGAAAATATAGTATGTTTCGTTGACTGAAGTAATGTAACGAGTGAAAAATACGGAAACTGAATTTAAATATAAGATGGATTTATTAATAGTATGGATAATTAAATAGAAATATTCTAAGCAATATATCAATATGACGAAATAAATAATAATATGTGTATAACGGTAGTACCAACTATGACTCTTTCTTTATAATTCGATTTAATATTAAAAATATCTAGATCTAAATCAGCGAGTGCTCTTACAACCACCGTACACAGGTGACTCTTTCCTCAACTTCCTCATGTCCTTATTACTCTTGATGCTTGTAGATTACCTAAATATTGCTAGTTCTAGTTCTAGCAATATTTAGGTGATGCACTTTAAAAAATAAACAATTGAAAGTTCAACCAATAAATTAACAGATGCAGCCGAAGCAATGTTTAATATGCAATTTTTAGGCCGAAATCTATTTCTATTGAACTAAATAACATCCTTATCTTGATAGCGAGGAGATTAGAATATTACAAGGAACAGGAAGGCGTGGTTAGTGCGTTTGATCTGCGAACGAAAGTTAAGCAACATTCGCTAGGGCCGGTTATAGGATGGGTAATCAAAATTTACTATCTGAGGAGCCGTGCTTCAGAAGACATTTGTGAAGTTAAGACTGTGGTCCCAGCTGCATCTATAGTTAACACTAACCAATTTGCACTGGGCCACTGGGTAAATTATTGCCCTTTTTCCCTATTCGATTCCGTCCGTAGGGAATGGCTGTGCTCCAGCATTGAGGACAATATATAATAGGCTGGTGATTATGATAATAAATGTCCTAATCAATCACCTTTTTTTTTATAAATAGGGAGACAACGCACTGCAATAGAACTATTTTGAAAAAAAAACGAGACTCATTGATTTATTTGTTTTCTAGGTACACAGCAATTCGTTGTGCCCAATTGCATTTACTTCAAGTGGCTTTCCCTTCCATTGCTCAATCAGACCTTGTCCTACGTCTACCCAAAGACTTCGCCCGTGAAGGCTGGCTCTGGAAAACAGGACCCAAGCCATCGGACGCCCATCGACGAAGGTGGTTTACATTGGACAACAGAAAGTTGATGTATCACGACGAACCGCTCGACGCTTACCCAAAAGGCGAAATCTTTGTGGGTAAGTATTTAAAATATAATAAAAAAAGAACTTAACATACTAGTAGCAAAGTAATATTAAATGTAACCTTATCGAATAAAAACTGCAAATGAAACAGTCACATTTTCCCTTTATTTCTATACTGATTTAAACTGATAACGGTTCCTCGAACACAAGATAATAGCCACTCACAAAATTACCGAGCGAAATCCACGTTTTATCTGCCCATTCATAACTCCGTTGATTAGCACGTGTGTCCTTGTATGGACCGGTATTTGCGTGTTATGATTATTGTAAAACGTATTTTCTTGATAACAATATTTTTATCTCATGAAATATTAAAAGTATCTTCATAGACACATGCTTGTGACATTCTCAAATCGATACATAATAATCATAAAGTAAGTAAGAAATTATAACATTAATAAATGGAAACTTAAAAAAGTAGAAAATTTACAGGTAGTACACAAACGTATTGCAAAGATAAATATTGCAATTTGTACTATCGTATTAGTATAAAACTTTGACAGAACCACCTGAAATTTAATAGCATTGACCTCTATTCAAGTGTCATATTTAAAAAAAAATAAAATGGAACGACCTTTATTATTAGATATCGGAGAATTTGAACTCCAAAAAAAATATTAAACGACTACACTTGACACTAATACATATTTATTCTGTGACAATACTTATAATTTAAAGCGTCTGTGTTATATTGCCGGGTTAGCATAAGATTAATCCCGTCTCGGGCACCTGAACCGCTGATTTATTTATATTTTATCTATTGTTATGACTGCAAAACTATGGAAAATATAATTTCAGGTACTTTAAAATATAAGTTTTCTTCTTTCATCACTATATTACAATAAAACCATGTGGGCTTGCTACACCAATGTACGATGCGACCGCCGGATTCTCTAGTCAAGACTCTAGTCATAGGAAACGACAATTTAAGATGAATGACCAAGTTGGTAACACTGCGGACAAATCAAATCCATAATGTTCGCTAAGATGTCGTATCCTATGGCAACAGTTAAAGAGAGAGTTAGGAGATCGCTATCCTGGGTAAAAGTTTGGTTTTTGAAAGATGCATAATAATAGTAAAGTTCCGTGTTTGCTCAAGAGCAGTATTCGTTTACTAATGATTGATGCGTGTCAAAAATTTTACTGACTATACGTATTTCGTCAAATTTAGCCATCCATCTTGCTTTTGCCTATGCTACTTATAATAATGATAGTACTCCAATGCAATGTTATAAAAGCAGTCTATAACTCGGCGTCGAGCGCATCGTATTCATGGCGTTATACACTATGACTCCGATTTGATTATCAAATCGGAGTCATAGTGTATAAAAAAAAGCTACTTAAAATGTAATAAAGGTGTTATTTTATTGAACCTCTATGATGCCACATTGCTGTGCTCGAAGTCGAGCTTAAGGCTGCATTTCACACAATAGCTGTACTCTTTTATAAGACGTATCATTGATAACAGGCCACGAATCCAACGGCTACTGCATTAGAGTATCTAACACGGGGAATGGTTGCAAAGACGCCCGATTTCCCTTCCACTTGGTGACTCCTGAGCGGACTTACTGTCTCGCTGCCACCACACACGAAGACAGAGCCTGCTGGCTCACTGTCATACAACAGATAATCAAAAGACCGCTAACACCTCAAGATTCAGCTAGTAAGTAGTCATAGAAATACCTAATTTTTTATTTATTAACCGTAATTTTATTTGAAAAGCTATTTCGGAGATGCTATTTTATCAATAAGGCTATAATTTACGCGTGCGAAGTCGCGGGACAATTGCCTGTAATTTATAATTAGCTTTCCGCCAGCGGCTTCGCCCTCGTGGTTCCTAGGGAACTGATTATTTGGATATCGATTCATGTCATGACGGATATATTTACAATGACACATAGAATAGTAAACAATGGTTACTATGGTAACCATTTAATACCTATTAAAGTTCCACTCCCATTTTCATCCCTTTATTTGCCGTTTTTTCGGGATAATATATATAACCTACGAGCTGAACCGGCAAACTTCGTACCACCTTATTTTTGAAGAAAAATTAAATACACACCGTGTCGTGAATCGTGAAACTAAATTGGATGATTCTATTTTTATGTGAACATCACATTTTTTTATTTTTCGCTAACTCATTAGTTATTACTTTTTTTGATATTGTGGGTTATCCTTGGCATATAGACATATCACCGCGGACGTTTTTGTAGATCTATTAAAGAGGTACAATTCCATCATACAATGTTTTGTTATAACTCAAAACTTTTTGGCAGCGTTTCGAAGAAAGCTTTCGATCGGCTTTATTTATTCGACATATTGAACTAATATCGTTGTAAAATTGTCAATTTGTACAAAACCTAAACTTACTTTACACTAAAACCTTCTTCAAGAATTGCTATTGTTGCTATTATTCTTTAAGAATTGCTAACCGCATTAAAATCCGTCTAGTACTTTTCGAGTTTATCGCTAACAGACAGACAGACAGAAGCGGCGGGGGTCTTTGTTTTATAATATCTAGTGATGTTCACCGCATATGGTGTAGCTTTTTAAAAATAGTCCAGTGATTTCGGCGCCTATTCGTTGCAAACGAGCAATCAAATCGTTCCTCTTTATAATATTAGAATAGACAAAGTGACGTTACGCCCGCAGCTTGCGGCGACTGGAGACCAGTGCCAGCACTAGTCCCTTGTATATATTTTCTGCAATTTAAAGCAGGTTAAATTTATTTTCATTATCATTTCTTTCAGTTGAAGCAGTGCTGGTAAGAAAAAGGACTACATCCAATTCAATGAACATCTTCTCTGGCAGGTAGTTACTCTGTCAATCTTACACTCACGCTGTAAGATAGTTGAACTGCACTTTACAAGAATATAAAGTTCGTTTGATGAACTGTTGATTATATCAACAAACATTATGATAATCTCCTTTTAGTATAACGAAACGCATTTCAAAGACGATTTTTTTAATGTTCAATAAATTTCATTCAATTTGATCAAAGTTAGTTAATTATATTTGATCACGTTTAGTTTCTGTTTAACCTACCTTTTAAATGTAAGTATAAATTATTTTATGTTTCTTTCTTTAGTTTTTAGCACAACGTTGGGACTGAATCGATTATGTGTTAAATTATTGATTTTATTTATGATAAGGTTTTTATGTGCGTGTGTTTGTGTTACTATGCAGAATGTGGCGAAACGCACAAATATCATGTATTATTAGTGAAATAATCTGTAAATTGTAGAATCCAAAGTGTTTGTCTATATTATATCAATAATCATATTAATATTACAAAAAAAAATATGATCATGTAATTTACAAATCTTTTAGAACGAAGCGAGTTCATATACACGATAAAATACTTTATGATAATGGGCATACGGTAGAATTTACCTAGGAACAGAATTAACAAAAATTTTAAACAGCGATCTATTGAATCACTGTGAATCTGATGACAGTATAATTATATTACTTAGGGAACGAAATTGTATTTGTAAATATTTCTAAAGAGTCACCAGATTCTTCTTGAGGCCAGTTTAACAAAATATGTTACTAATGATAAACAAACTTTGCTGTGCATGCAGTAGCTACCTTTAACTACATATTCATATTGAAAGAATAACTCAGTTAAATATATTAACTTTAACTAAGGAAAAAATATTTAGCCCTCTTTAAATGTAGTGGAAAATAATATTTATTTTGAAAGAAAATTATTTTTTTAACCTGTAAATAAATACTTATTGAATTAAGCAATATTTCAACATCGTTTATTGATGAATATTCAATAAATTAATGTAAAAAATATTAATCTATGATAGGCTACTAAGAAACCCAAAAAGTTCAGAAAAATACATGCTTATTATGCTAATTGTTTTATTATTAATGAGCATTTTAATGCCAAAAGAGGATAAAATATAACTTTCTAAAGCTAGGACCATACTATAACACTTGATCCTAGTAGGTACTATAGACTTCAGTTTCACTATGGATATAGGTACATTTGTTTTAATGTAAAGAGAAAAACATAGAAAATCTACAAAAATAAATGTCACTAGCTGGCGATACTACGTTTGACTTATTTCCGTCAATTCTTGGACTAAAGATTGTTCGTAATATTTTATAAAATATGCGGTCTATAAACTTTAAATTAACATTCAAAACTTAGATGTTAAAGGAACCAACAAGAGAGCTTATAATAGACGATGACATATTTTTTAACTTTTGAAACTCAATTACAATTAATAGACAAGTTGATTGAATATTGCACTACAAATATGTCAATGTATGTGGCGCCATCTAGTTTCTTTTAGAGAACTGTTTTTTATAAACAATCTTCGTTCCGAATAAACATAGACATGCATGCATTCATATATATACAGACAAAATAGCGTCATACAAAATTGTCAAATATCTCTACTTGATTTTAAACCTTAATGCGTTGTGTGTAGAGTACAAAGTCGATTGAAGAAATGTCACATATTGTGATAGCCTGACATACAACCTTTACTTAGCTTTAACAGACTTACACAAAACTTCAGTTTTGATATAAATTGCTCTCTTGGTCTTTTAATAGCTGGGGGTGAGCGTCCTGATGATTCGGTCACGACTTCCCGGGTCTCATCCCCAGGGGAGGGTACACCGTAGGGGTTTCTGTGGGAACCCCTGTCGCTTGCCAGGCTGCAGGGCTAGTTCCTAATGCATTTCCTCGACATAAAATAAAAAAATAAAAATGAAAAATGGTCTTTTAACAGCTATTTTCTGATATTTATTGTTAGATTCCTTACAAAGAAGAAAAGTTTAACATAAAATCATCTACAACTAAAAAATGTGACAATCACTTAATTTATAATGTGAATGAGCTAATAACAAACTATTTTGACACTTTATAATGTCGTAAAAATATCTTTAATAAGCGTATTTATTAATGGTCAAAAAAGCAATCAGATTAATGATTTCAAATTCTTTTAAATGTGTTATTATTTTTCTTCCTAGAAATTTTTCAGTATCTAAATCAGAGTTATGTATAAATGTAATTTATATTATAATATTAACATAAGGATATAAAATGCAACTAGCAATGCAATAATGTAGAAGGTACTCGGGAAGATGTAGTGGTTAAAATAAACAATATCACATTTAAAATAATAACCTGTTATATATTTTATATTTACGATTCTTTTGAAAAATGAATGTACAAGGCAAATTTCTAAATTCTTTGGTTTCTTTATAAAGACATTTATTTGCGATAGTAATTTTATTCTTAGTAGCATATAGTCATAGGTATAGCAATCATCAACATTATCCAATATTATATTTAGATTTTATACATTGATATAAAAATACTAGTTAATAATCATAACTTGGTCCCTACCCTTCCATGGTTTTATACTTCCTTTTCAAAAGTAGTCTTTGACGTAACAACAAACTTATTAGATAAGATAATATTGCATCTTTTAAGTATATTAGGCAGGTTAAATACTCTGGAAAACGGGCTTTAATTTATATTTACTAATCGTGCGTTTGTGCAGACCCTCGATTCTACTATTCTAATCGTAATAATGGCACTTCAATTAATAGCATATTTCACTGCTTTATCATTACATCATGACGCCAAATATTATTAGTACAATGGCGAGTTGATAACTCAATGAGGACAGATTCTTTTATTATTTTGTGATATACTACCAAGGATTATTACAAAAAAGTTTTTATTGAAACGATATTGACACGTCATTAACGATAATATTAGCGGAAATGAGTCTCAGGAGTCGATAATCAGTTTAAATAATATAATCATCACAATCTAATACTGGGCGGGAGTCTAAGAGCTCTTTAACGTTATGCGTTGCAGTGGTGAAAGCGAGTCGGTGCTATTCTTGTCTATATCGGTGTCTCATTTCAACTTTGCATCGTGAAATGAATACTAAAAAGTGCTTTACATTGTAATTTTTTTCATAAGTATGCTTTTATAGTAAAAAAAATATCACAAAATACAGATAGAGCGAACGATTAATTTTGCTCTCTCTCTCTTATAAAGTTTTAGAGTCTTATTCACTAGTTTTCTACTGCGTGCTTAATATTTTTAGTGCAAGCACTTGGCCAAAACCTATGTTTGGTGAATACCTATGTACCTACATTTAAATGACGATTAAAAATAAATCTAAAATTAAAAAATATATAATTTTACAACAATTTTATTTTTAATGATTGGAAAACCATAAAGATAAACCATCATGGCTTTCCAATCATTAAAAATGACGTGACGTGACAGCACTTTTTTCCTTTCTATTTACTTTGTGATTTTGTATTTCTCAATTTTATTATTTAGTTTGTTTATAAATAAAATAATCTGAATGTCATAAGAGCTCATGGCTTAACCCCTAATTATAGCAGAGTTAGTAGGGAGGGTAGGTACTTGTGAAGGGAATGTTAGTTGAATAACATTAAGAAATGTAAAATAGTATTTCTTGTTTTCTTTTATAAAAACAAATCTTACAGCTGAATTATCAAATACTCCGTGTCTGTTTTTAATGCAGATGATAGTTAAATAGCAACTAAATTGTTAATTTAACAAACGAGCTTATCTATTGAGTACTGTTTTTAGCAATTTTTCAACTATCATATTTGCTTTGAAAATAAATCAAAATATTTATTTGATCAATCTTGCATTCACAATGCTATATTGATATTAATGTTAAAGATGTTTCTTTAATATGAAATAATTTTTAATTGGAAAGCTTAAAACTGAATATTCGGTATATTTTCAATTTAACTTCAAAAAGCTAGGAGACTACCAAAAATAATGGTAGAATAAGTCAATACATATTTTAGTATAAATATACTTTAACGGACATTTACATTACAGGACTATTATAAGCAAATTGGTTGATAAGGTGTATGAATATAATTCATCAACAAATAGTGTAGCGTTGAGTATTGAATTTATAATATTAAAATAAGTATGTAATTAGGAATCTACTGAGCGTTACGTATGTCGCTAAAAATATTATTATAAGTATTGTCCAAAATTATATTTTGTGACCACGTGTGTTTTATTGCATACTAATTGCATGTAATTAAACAATTAATAGATTTAATTCTTTTGGTTCACCAAAGATGTTTCGATAATCAATCGCTACTTGGTGCAATCATGTGGGGCTCAAACGTGAAATCATTAGACGTGCATTAATTTAATGCTTTTATTAAGACCGCGTGCAGATGACGTTTAGCTATACGATATGATAACTTGTCATTGGAGAAAGTAATAATTGAATGAACACTTGAACTCGATAGCCCAAATATCTGGAGTACCCATAGAGTAACTGATTTATCCCAGACAATGTCTTCGTCCGACCGCCGCCGTTGTAGGCCTAGATGACACGCACATAGGCAAGAAATATGAAGCAAGATGGATACGGCGATATAAAATATCTACATTCTAGGGTAATCGGATAACGTATTCAAATAAAGTGTCAACAGGTTAATCGAGAGTGCTATTCTGTAATAAAATCAGGGTTGAACTAGAGTATAGAGGTTTAAATCGAATAAAACCTACTTCAAAATGTGAAGAACGTTTTATGGTGTGATGAACCTCTGCGCTGTGACAAATATGCTCGGCATCGAGTTCGAGGCTCATTTTATTATAGAATAACAAGGCAGGAGACGACGAGTGCGGTCATTACCTCTGACATTCAAAATATCCGACGTTTGCACGCGATGTAATTAGTATAATATCAATATTTTTTAGGTATATTTATATACTGACGTGCTCTTTTCTAACGCAAGTGGTTACCTAACATTAATAGATTTCACTAAGCCTCGACAATTAGCAAATTGTATAGAGTCATTATGATAGACAAAAAAAGCAATTTAATGTTTCCTAGATAATGTACAATTTTGTTTAGCTTTGTATTCAAATAGATTTTAGGTACTGCCACAGTTAATACCCATATTGTTATAAAAAGATTTAAAAAAAAGTCAGGTGTAAAAACACATCTGTTATTTAGTTTAAGCTTAGTTTAACTTTATTTAAACAATTTTTTACCAAAATATGCCTCGCTTAAGTTTTTTTTGTAAATAATCGAATTAGTGTATTGATTAGTGTGCTCTGACATAATATTATGTTCATTAACTGTTCTTATATTATAATATTAAAATAATAAACTTTTCACCGCTACTATGGCTTTTAATTTCAAATTTACATTAATATTAAATTATATAAATATCACGGTTTTTTACATTAATATTTATTTCATGTTAAGGAAAGTAGATACAATCTTTTTAGCCACAAAGAACAAGTGACACAACAGTTTCCACCACAGAACATAGAGAGTGATTAGAAGTATAATGATATTAATTTAGTATGGGAACCGAGTGTCGCCTCTCCGCACACAAATACAGATTAGATGAAATGATCATTTTGTTCACTACATGAAAAACCGCCACGCGATAGGTTCGCGATAACATAAACCAAATCCCAAAAAGATACTAAGCTAAGAAATCACACGATTAAAAACAAACTCTAATTCAACGT